ATATTTATATATTTATATCTACCATATGTTTCAATTTTTTCTAACTGTATTGCATGAATTGTAGCTTATAGAAGGTTACGTGACAAGAATCGAAAATATATATTTGTGATACTTACATTACTAGAAAGCTGCCCTGTATATCTGTACTCTGAAAAGTATGTGATATATCCCTAAAAAATCATTACAATGAAAAGGACAGGTCATGTTAAAAAATGTAAACAGATCTTCAAAAATGTAAGCCTTTAAAAATTGAAATGATTATCTAACAATATATATTACATGAAAAGTGACTGTATATACTATTAAGTATAAAATCAACGTATATGATATATATGTATTTATAGGTTTATATATGTACCATATGTTTCAATTTTTTCTAACTGTATTGCATGATTCGTAGCTTATAGAAGGTTACATGACAAGAATCGAAAATATATACATTTGTGATAATTGCATTACTAGAAAGCTGCCCCATATATCTGTACTCTGAAAAGTATGTGAAATAGCCCAAAAATATCATTACAATGAAAAGATCAGGCCATGTTAAAAAATGTAAGCAGATCTTCAAAAATGTAAACTTTTAAAAATTGAAATTATTATGTAACAATATATATTACCACAAAAAGTAACTGATATATTATTCAAAATTCCAGTTCAAGGTGAACATACATAAAGCGTATTCTCAAAAATGTAAAGCTTTAAAAATGTATACTTTTATCTGATAATATATTATGTACAATACACATATATTACCACGACAAGTAACTGATGTGTTATTAAATGTCCCATTTCAAAGTAAACATACATCAAGTGTATCATCAAAAATTGAAACTTTTAACAATTACAATGATTATCCAATAATTACTATGATAAGTAACTGACATATTTTTCAAGGTCCTAGTTAAAAGTGAACATACATAAAGTGTATTCTCAAAAATGTAAACCTTTAAAAATTTTAATGATTATCTGATGATATATTACCATGACAAGTAACTGATATATTATTGAAGGTGCCAGTTCAAAGTGAAAATACATCAAGTGTATCCTCACAAATTTAAACTTTTAACAATTTAAATGATTATCTGATGATATATTACCATGACAAGTAATTGATATATTATTAAAAGTGCCAGTTCGAAGTGAACATACAAACATATAAAGTGGATCCTAAAAAATTTAAATCTTTAAAAATTTAAATGGTTATATAATGATATATTACCATGACAAGTAATTGATATATTAATAAAGGCCAGTTCAAAGTGAACATACATAAAGTGGGGTGTCACCCAGTTGGACACGGCTCAATTGGACACTAGCCACTCACAGCGCTTGAGACTACAAAGCTCCTAAGCACCGGTCGCTGTGATTGGTGGTGTCCAATCGAGCCGTGATCAATCGGGATCACCCCCATAAAGTATATATTATCTAAATTTAATATAATATATTATCATGAAAAGTAACTCATATGTTATTGAAGGTGCGAGTTCAAAACGGACATACATACATACAAGTAAAACAGACTACAATTTCATTCTAGAAAATAAGTGCGATATGTTATTCTTAGTGCACAAAATATAAAAGTTGTTTATTGAGATTTGATTTGAAATTTATACTAGCCCATACAATGAAAAATAATTGTTTGTAATTCCAGAGAACCAATTTGTTAATGACTCGAAAAATTATTATCATGAAATGTAATTCATATGTTAATGAACGTGCGTGTTCAAAACGAATATATTAGGGGTTAAACTTAATTCCTGCCGTTTTTTGTCTCCAAAATTGATTTGTTTCGAAGGGAAGATGAATGAATACCTTAATCAAAGTAATTTCCTCCATTTTCTACTTTATTACTAATTAATAATACTTTATTAATAATACTTTGATTAAGGTATTTCTTCGAAACAAATCAATTTTGGAATCGAAAAACGGCAGGAATTAAGTTTAACACCTAATACATATATACAATTTAAACAGATTACAATTTCATTCTAGAAAACAAGTGCGATATGTTATTCTTAGCGCACAAAATATATAAGTCGTTTATTGAGATTCGATTTGAAATTTATACGAGCCCGTACAATGACAAATAATTGCTTGTAATTCTAGAATACCAATTTGTTAATGACTCGGAAAAAGAACATGGCAGCCTGCTCTAAAAAAACTTTCGATGGATGGAATATAGAAATAAAATAGTTATAAAAATGTTTCAGATTAAAAGCCACCAATCTTCCTTTAGTAAAATTTCGAATTTTCGCGTCAACTTCCGATTTTGAGTTTATACCGTATTTTCAACGAGTGTTTTATTAATCATAAAATGTTACCTTGTTGCCTGAGACGAGCAAATATTAAGCCCAACATTCATAAATAAAAGTTCTCGGTCAAGTACAAAGAAGCTGTATGGCTAAAAAGATTGCTGATTATTTGACATAATGTACATTCGCTTTGTCTCTCTAAATCTGAATCAGTGGATAATCACTTATATCAGTGACAAGTATGCCACTGGTAATCAGTGAATCAAATGTGAGATCCTTAACCTATACTGTTAAAAATGCAACCACGAACCTCTTTTACATGTAAATGAAGCTGGTGGTTATGAACGAAATTAAAAGTAATGAATGATTTAACTGAAAATTTAGTTACAGTAGTTACTTAAATGTAATAAATCTGTATATTAAATTTACATAAAATTTTATTAAAAGTACATTAAATTTCATAAATTTTCATAAAAAATACATTAAATTTTATGTACGTGCACATAAATATACTTTTTAGTTACAAATACATTAAATTTAATGTAATGTCATGAAATTAAATTCAAATTAAATTCAATTGTGTAACTTAATAATAATAATAATAGTAGTATCCTGAGAGGCAACCCCTAATTGGGCCCACCAACGACACGCAGACCAAGTCCATTATTGTGTCTTCCCAGCCGTACTAACCCCAGGTCAGCTCAAACCAGTCTTCCTCCAGAAGCGAAGGAGATCCCTGACCTGAAGTTGACATACCTGCTCGGGCTCGAGGAATATCGAGCCCAGTAAAAGCCGCCTGTATCCAGTATACGCTGGACATTCGCACAACACGTGGAGAGTAGTCTCTTCCTCATGTCCACACTTTCTGCACTTCGGGTCCTAAGCCCCAGCTTGCCAAGGTCCCTACTGGGCACTTCCCCCAACAGGGCCCTTGCCTGCCGACATTTGGTCCTTGTTTCTTCCTTCCAATAGCTCATAAGGCGGTCGCGCAACCAGTCTCTTATTCTCGCCTTGCCCCTGCAGCCTGGCAATCCAAGGGCCGGTTCCGGCCCCACTAATCTAGCTGAAGAGCCGCTCCTTGCTAGCTCATCAGCGACCTCGTTCCCCTTGATTCCCGCGTGCCCCGGGACCCACACGAGAGCAACGTCATTGCCCGCGGTCAGCCTGTTCAATGCATCCTTGCACACCCATACCAGCTGCGAGTCAAAGACGCACGCTCCCAGCGCCCCTAGGGCCGCTCTGCTGTCTGAGCAGATCCTGATACGCCTGCCCATCCGCCC